AAGCCCCAAGGTCCAAATTGATCATTTGTAAGGAGGCAGAAAGCAGTTCTCCATCTCCTGGGTCACTTAATGGAATAGATGCACAGATGTGTCTTGGGAAGGGTTTTGTTTATCTTAGAACCATCTGGGATTGGTCTCTGCTCAGAAGAGATGGCCAGAAAAGAAGAGTGGGCCTTCTTAGTCCACTAGATAACATTAACAATGAGAACCATTATTCATTCTTTCAAAGAACATTTCCTGAGCTCTTTGTGCCAGGCACAAAGCCCTAGAAGTGAGCCAAAACAGATGCATTCCATAGCTCACAAGTACTTCAACTGTGCCTCCATTTCAGAAGTTGTCCAGGGCTCAGAGAATGTGGTGGATGGGCGTGGGAACAATGTTTAAACCGACCCTCATCTCAGACCTGTTAGCTTTGTAATGGCGGTACCATTTCATGAGTGCTTGCTACTATATTCCATGCACTGGTAAGTCCTCTAGTACATTCTCATTTAATCTTCTCCTAACTTTAAAGATAGAATTATCCTCTCTGTTTGACAGATGAGAACGCTGAGAACTCAGAAGGATTAGGTCACTGGCCTAAGGATCATAGCTACTAATAGGGACAACCACATCTTTGTACCTAGGGCAATGTGCCTCAGTAGGCCTCTTTACCAAGACATGTTGTATCTGGGGTCTTTGTTCCCTAAGTCCAACTGCAGGCCCCTGAGGAGGCTGTGATCCAGCAGTGCAAGGCTCCAGCTGTTGTAATCTCAGACTGAATGTTGTCTCACTGGTGGAGGAGGCGAGCTAAGTATGCTGTTTCCTCCTACTTATGTCCAAGAAGGCTAGTCAACCAGCTTCCTGACAGCACCTTCTCCCCAGTCTCCCGTGCATCAGAGATAATGAAATCATTTTCCATGGAGAACGCACATGCCTGGCTCCTCTGAGAGGTTGGAAGTGTCACTTCTCCCTCTTCTAACATTTTCTGAGCAGCAGCCTGAGAGCCCTGCCCTCCTGTCTCCTGCCCTAGAATCTGTTCTTGCCCTGGTGGAGGCAATGGATTCCGACTCAAAGCCCCTTCTCTCAGCACCTTTCCTCATGTGGCTCTTTAGTACAGAAGTTTGTCTGATTCTGCCCGTCTACCCTTTCCC